GCGAACTCGCTCAGGCATGGAAGAAAAAGTGCCCTCAAGTCTACTGTAGGGCGTGGTTCGGTTGGGTGAGATAGGCATGAGAATGTCGTGGACCAGGCAAAATATCATCGTTGTTCCTGTATTCACGTACGTATGTGACAATGATTCAGAGCGTGTCAAAGCAGCAACTGTGCTGTTGAGATTCCAAATGAGTACTGTTGAGAAACCAGAGCAATCAAAACCCAACATGCACATCATATCATATTGATCAGGGAACCACGGCAAATCCATCTCGAATGGGTTTGGCCCAAGCTTGCTGGCAATACGGAATCTCGTCATAATACTGATTCTGATGAACATCCGCGCGCTTGCGCAACGGACAATTTTCCCAGACGATCTGGCCCTGAATGCCCAAAGGATCCTGGTCAACTGCAATCACTTCCGCGTTGGTGTAGGTCTCCAGATCATGGGCACTCATCGACAGCATGCTTGATCCCAACAGCAGCGGAGCGGCCATCACGGACCACAAAGAGAACTGCGTCCGTGATTGTTGCGGGGTCATTTTCACGGCAGCTCCAACTGATGAGCCCACCAACATATCAGGATCGTTCCATCCCCCAGGGCCTCCGTGCTCAGACAAGAAAGCATTCACACGGATCGCATAGTTCCACGCGCTCCGCCAGTCACGGACATCGTAGCCAATCCTCCAAGAGTTGGCCAAGCTCTTGCCATAGGGACTGTACCAGTTGTGCCAGCCCGACAAGGCCAAGAAGACCTTCCGCCCGGTCTTATTCAAGGCATCACGGAAAAGCTCATACTGGGCGATTGCTTCGGGTGATGGTGGGTCCTCAAGAGAGTCGGGACCGAAGCAGGAGTCCGTCTTTACATAATCCACACCCCAAGACACGAAGGTCTGAGCATCGGTGACTTCATAACCCGAACCCCCGGGGCGACCGGCACAGGTCCAACGACCCCGATCTGTGTAAATGCCAAACTTCAAGCCTTTTTGATGGACGTAGTCTGCAACATGCTTCATGCCATGTGGAAACGCTTTTTCATAAGGCACCAGTATCCCATCTTCTCCTCGCCGATGTGCCCAGCAGTCATCGATGACCAAGTATTCGTATCCCAAAGCCGGCAATCCTAGGTCCACCATCTTATCAGCTACCTTGGAGATATTCTCTTCTGAGACACCTTCACATTCGAAGTCGTTCCAGGTGTTGTAGCCCATCTGTGGGGTGTTTCCCAGTCCATTGTCCAGTCCATGAACTGTGAGGAACACCCCGGACAAGCTCGCAAGGAGTCTCATTATGGAGCGGTTCAGTTGCTGACTACGATTTCCTGACAAGCCCGAGACAATGGCCGATTGAGCGGTACGACAGAAGAAACACCTCAAAGCGTTGCTTAATGAGACCCATCACCAGAGGTCAAACAGCAGTGTGTCCTGTCGACCAACACAGTAAAGTACCCCCGTCGCGCGGTTCACCACGCCTTCATCTAACGTCTATCACCCATCAGACAAGGGACACACCAACACCAAGCCAAGAGAAGCACTAAAAACAAGATAAGCACCAACATTGGCAGCAAAAGCAAGTGACCGCCACCAACTCAGATCGACCTTCGGCCTCTTTCCGAACGGACCGTCTTGGAGCGTCTCTGTCTGGCCAGTTACAAAGTGATGCGGGAGCTGTTCAGTCAGGTCCTCTAGCGTCTGAAAGCCGGCGATGGGTAACGGCAAGTTGAAAACGAACCAGAACCTAACTAGTCTTGACTGCAGAATGAGACAGCTGAACAACTCCCTTGTAGTCGCACGGTGACATACGGTGACAGTCTGGCTCGCCGCAGACTGGGCGAAGGAGAAGACTCAGACTAGCACTCAGTGTGCCGAGGCTTGCCAGCTCATGCTACGTAGCTGCGGTTCAAGGCTGAGGGTGAAGTATTTGGGCTTAATGTTTAACTAGGTTCAGGGATGTGGTCACTTTAGGGACTGCCAGATCAAAGAACTTGGAAACGCGTCGGTTGAAGCAGGTTTGAGTCATTGCTGCAGCTTCCAGAGAGGTCCATGTTCAAGTCCTCTCCAGCTCTTGAACTACACGGGAGATCCAGAGTGGATGGCAAAGCTCACTGGCTGCAAAGAGGCTGAGCCTGAGGATGCGACCAATTCTGAGAGGGTGGGCTGAGGAGAGGAGGCTTGGGATGCATAGCCTCAGGAGTTTGGCTTTCTTGAATTGAACTGGGTTGAAGACCCTGCGCTGCAATCGATGGGCCTTGTTGTGAGCTGTGCGAAAAAGCTGCCCAGGCATGGCACTGGGTCATTTGCAGCTCCGGACATAGATGTTGCTGGCTGCAGTGTAGAGGATTCGCAGAGTGGCATCCTAAACAATTAAAATGTGCCCTCGCATGAAACACACAGCGTTCTGAACAAGCAGAGTCTCGTTGCGGCCCCGGTTGCGATGCTCCTTGAGAAGGGGCCGGCAAGCTTTGAGCAGGCACTAGGTCGCTAGGTAGGGTAGTCCAATGCTATACTATACCGCTACTGCCCGTGCAACATAATATGTAATGATGTGACGTGATATTAACATAATGGGCCACTCGCTCCAGACTTGCTTAGTGCAGGTGTCTGCAGATCCTCCCAGCTGGTGTCAAGGAGCTCAGGAAGTTCAATGCTTGCACTCCAGGATATAAATCCGAAAAGGCCACTTCCTCCTCATCGATCCCAATGTTCGATATGCAACCTACGCGCCCTCAGAATCTGCAAGAAAGCCTTGAGCCATCAGCTAAAGATTGCAGACACATGGCCCCAAGATAGCCTGAAGCTTGCAAGTCCTGTCCTCTTAGTCGTCGTCCGCAGTCAGCTCCACTCCTCCTTCTGTGCCGGGCACCTCCAACCTGGGCATTCACGTTTTGGTGCACACTGTGGCCACTGCAGGCCATTTCAAGTGGAGCTTGGCTGGAGCTTGAAAGCGAGAAGAAAGTGCAAAGACGATCTCTTGCCTCAGGCATAGGCTCCAAAGACAGTACGAGCCTAACCTCGGCCTTCCTGAGGCGATTACCCAGACATCGCGATGTACTCACGCAGCCTCAGCGTGCAAAAAGGAAGGCGCTTCAAGGAAGCACATGCCGGCTTGCGGATGTGCAAGGACCTTATGCTCAAGGATGTTCCTTCACAGAAACCCGGCGCTGCTGTTGTCTGCCACTGTCACGGTCTGAATTCCAGGAGTGTTTTCAGCTTTCCAGCGACTTACTTTCCATCGCGTGCAGCCAAGGGATGGGAGATGTTGTGCTTCTGAGTCTGTCATAGCCACCGGCTGCCAAACGCAAGTCGCTCTCGGAAGCTTCGGCACTCTCGTAAAGCTGTTCGCTCCAGATCCTGTACGACACACAACTGACCGGGCCCCTCGCATCTTGACCTCGTCCGTCCTCTTCTTGACGATGGCCTGCAGAGTCTGTCGACCGTGGCTGAAACATCGGAGGCACGAGGAAATCTGCGGTGCATGCAAACTTCACCGTCCGATACATTGTGGCAAAACCCACAAACCCATGCCGTTTCAAGAAGATGAGGCTGTTCATGCCAACAGCACCGACCACGATGCTCCCAGCTGAAATTCAAAGCCAGCCAAAGGTATATCCAACATTGAGAAATGCCCTTCCGAGCCGTGGCGAATGCTTGTCAGCCTCCAACACCGATCAGACACTCCGCTTGGCCTTCAGGTCTCGAAACTGCGTCGTGGAACCCAGGTGCTGGCGCGAGAGCTTTGATGTTAGGGCTGCTAAGCGTGTAGCATTGTTAGGATTATGGTATATATATATATATATATATATATATATATATTTAAGTGATGTCGATGATTATCACTATGATAAACATGTGTGGTAGCTCTTCTTAGTACTGAGTCGCGGGTGTAGGGTTTATGTTTCAAGCTCATGGGGCCAAGCAGCTCGATCAAGAGGCCCCGGACCGGCTTCTTACAAGAGTTTAGGGTTTAGGGTTTGCTCTACCAACGTGAAACTCGACTCTTACAGACACCTTCAAAACTTTGCGACTGAAACCTCTCCAGAAATAACTAAAGACGTGGAGGACACGTACACTGGCTCATGTTCATCGATTTTCCTCCGTGCCTCTGTCGGCATGGTATTCTCATGCATAGATTCGACGGATAGAAGCATCGAAAGAAAGGCAGGCATATTGAAAGTGCGAATTAATTACACAAAACCGAGGGCACCTGTCACGAACTGTTCAGTAAAGGTGTTCTCCCTCAACCCTATAAAAAAAAACCTTTCAAACTCGAAACCCTAAACTGCAAACCCGCAACCCCCCCCCCCCCCCCGCAGCAACTGATGCCTCCGTAAGCTGATTCTGGGAGAGGGCCACCTGGGCCCCGGCCTGGTGAGTAGGAACAGCCGATGAAGGTACTGACATATCATGCTACCGTGTCTTACATGCACACTGTACATGTACACATACAGTTATTTGTATATACACATGTATGACATAAACATAAACTACATACACCTACACCTGCACCTAGGCATGCACATGCACATACGCATGCACATACAGATGAACGTACACATGCACATGCACATACACATGCACATACACGTACACAGGCGCATGCGCAGGCGCATACACATGCACACGCACATGCACATATACTGCCTCATTCATACATACGTACGTACATCCATCCATGCATGCATACATAGATGTCCATATATGCATATATACAGATATACAGATATACATATATACACATATACATATATACATATATACATATATACATATATGCATATATGCATATATACATATATACACATAAACATATATACATATATGCATATATGCATATATGCATATACATACACACATGCGTTTTGGTGTATATATATATATGTACATATGTGTATATATATATATATAAACATATACAAATGTATATACATGCATTCATAAAGTCCTCGACTCTGACCCTGCCTGCCGCACATCCTGGCCCTTTTTGCCATCTCTCCTCCTAGGCTCAGTAGCTTAGACGATAAACTTCCAACACCAGGGGAGATTCCCGGATCACCACCAGGCGCCGCTGGAACTTGAGCACATCCTTCTCACTCATGTGAGTGACTCTAAGTGTGACTGCGCCGTCCCTGCTTGCTTGACCTCCGACTTGGACCAGCATTCTCTCGACCGCGGCGACGTCCTCCTCGCAGACCGTTTGATTCCGGCCCAAGCCTCGCACCCGGACTCGATAGCTGTTTGCCTTCCCCTCCAGGAGGACCGGCCCACCGTGGAGCTGCAGATGCCTGCGGAAGAGAGGACCATCGCCACCGGTTAGGCAGAAGGCCTCCTGCAACCAGGAGAGGAGCCTCCAGGAAAGACCACCAAGGACCAAGCGACTCGGGATCTGCGGTGGACTTGATCTGGGCAGCAACTTTCGCAGACCCTCCACCTGCCGCACCCTTGGCAGATGCGCAAGCATCTCCTCAAGATGACTGCCGGAAACAACATCACCAGAGACGGTGATCAGAGCCAGGATGAAAAGCAAATGATGGTTCACACCAGCTTCGCCCACGTCCTTGTGCGTGATCACCTGTCGAACTAGTTCCAAGTAGTCTTCCGGAAGCTCATGCCCAGTGACCATGTAGAAGAACTGCCGTGCACGCAGAGTGTCCGAATCGTCATGGTCGTCCCAGAACCACTGAGGGAGCTTTGCTGCTGTCAGCGGTTCCTGTTCCTCGGTGAGCTTCAGTTTCTCAACATCTGTCATTCCACCCTTGGCACCAAGCTGGTCCAGCAACTCCAAGCCGAGCTTTTGTCGGCGTTCCCTGATCTGCTCCTCTTTTGAAGCATGTGCATATTTCTGCTCCATATCTTCCATATGCTGACGCCGACATTCATGAGCCTCTTTCTCGGCACTTGCGATCTCTCGGCCAAGCTTCCAGGCTTGTTGAAGGGCAGCCGTAGAAACCCCTTCCAAAACGACTTGCTGGAATCGAAGATCCCGGTCCTGGTCTTCGTCCTCCCAACTATCGCCTCCGGGCTTCCCCAAGAAGAGCGCGGCCACACGCGCAATCCAAGCCTTGCTCAAGTCGTGCACGGGCCTGCTATCTCTTCCGCTTGTACCTGTGTACATCACGAAGTCGGCCGGCTCGCAGCTGGTGAAGGCCCGCTGACGTCGCAGGAGATTTAACGTCTGACTGGAGAGGTGGCCATGGCAAAAAGCTCGAAAGAGCCGCGACGTGGCCAAGAGGGCATCAGCGCCATCAGCCGGCCGGACGTTCACTTCATTGCAGAATTCTTCAGCCAAGGGATCCAGATCGCCGGGTGGCACCATGGATGTAAGGCCGCACGCAAGTTCACCACCGTATCTCCATGTGTTTGCTACGTCTTCGGTGTAACTTGACAGGTCATACTGTCTGAAGAAGAGCTCAGCATCAGCATGTTCCCTGAGCAGGTCAGCTACGACCTCTCGCCAGGGGGGCTTCTCGCCCAAACAGCCTGGCTCATCTGGCCCGGACTCCACAGACGGTGTGAGATCAGTGCCTGCCCGACAAGCATAGATGCGCAAGTCGTCCATACTACCCACACCGAGAATGAAACACCTGTCCTTCACAGAGAGGGTCTTGGCTTTCAGGCCGTCTGGTTCGGGGCAGAACTCGAACGACCGGCCCAACAGAATGCAGCCTTCAAAGCTAACAATGAAGTCTGAGTCGTCGGACAGAAGCAGAACCGCGCGATGCTGCGTGGCATACAGTGCCACGGCGACATCAGGGTCGGTGACACGGGACTGAGCCCTGAAAATGCGGTGGGTTCCGGTCCCTGGTAAGCTGCCCGCAACTTCCTTCAGGAGTGTCATCAAGGGTAAGGTGGCCCTGACAGCACCGCCACGTCTGGAAAACCCGAGCTGTTGCAAGGTGGCAACGGCTTCAGCTGTTTCTGCAAGTGCCTTCACCCGGCGCCTGGAGGTTTCGGAAGCCTTGGTCTGATACCCTTCCTCATCGCGGAGCCCGTCAAAAACGAAGTGTAGCGATGCGTCGGGGCAAGCCTTTAGGATAGCTGTAAGGGTGCACCGTAACAGGTCATTCAGTTCTTGCAAGCGTGGGAGTCCTGATCCCTCCACCCGACCAGCAAGGCACATCAGGAAGTTCATACCGTCAACGACAATCAACGGCAACGGAGTCGAGTCTTTCGCTCGAAGCTCCTGCCATACGTCTCTCAGGGCTCGCGCTTCTTTCTTTTCGGAGAACAAACTGGCGAAGCCCCCTTTAACTCCCATGTTGGCATCTGTGCAGATGGAAGTCCTCTAAAGCTCGAGCTAACAAAGCCAAGACGAGGGCCCAGGAATCGGCCTATCCTGTCACAACATCGACTATCCTGCCGCAATGTGCCTGCATTCCTACAAGACCCAAATCCCAAGGTACTTCAGTACTTCCTTGCAATAGGAAGAACACACCCACGGATCATTTGCAGAGGCCTGCCCTAGCTCGAGCCTGGTCGAGCTGTGCCGCCAGATCGGAGCGCTCGGCGGCAAGCTCTGAAACCTGCTGGCATCGCAGCGTCATCTTCATAGCGACCTTCACCGTATTACCTCAAGCATTGATTAAATCCAAGCTTCACGACATTTCTCTCGAGCCGGACCTATAGCCACGAGAGAGTCTGACAAGTATGGTCGCCTGCAGCTGCATCGCATTGTAGCGCTCGCGCAGTTGCGCATTCTCCTGCTCCATCTCCTGCGGATAGGCTATGATTATGGTGTAATATTTATCAAAGCCCATTCAGGGCCTACCAAGCGAGATAGGTTCCTTGAGGCACTTCAGCCTGTCGCACGGTGCTCCTGCAGTTTAGCAGCCGTCGCCAGGTCGGATGGAGGCCCCAGGGGAGATGGCGGTGGAGGCACGGCCTAAATCCAGAAATTTGAGACTTCGGTCTGCCTTTTGGGGACTGCAGTCGAAGCCTGCAAAGGCTTGGGAACGGATTTCAGAATTTCATACAGGGGCTACATCCACAGCAAAGCCTACCAGATCCGACAGTGAGATCCAGAGATCTCAACTTCCAAAGAGCCACTGCAAGGCCACGATTCCAAGGGTGGGACTGAGTTCAGAGAGGGAAGGTTTCCTCTCTTTCCGACCGTCGCCGGCACCTGCCGCGTCGTGATGGCAAAGGATCGTGATAGTTCTCGATAACCTTATGATCCGGCGACTGTAGTCCTTTTGTATTCCTTTGCTTAGGCTCAGAGTCATCGAGCCATCCGACTCGGGCTTCGAAGCGGTGGAGACTTCATCCGAAACAGATCTCATAACCCATGCCTCTGCAGAAGTCTCGCATCATGTAGTATCCCAGCCCACTACAAGCAAAGGAAGGCAGACAAAGTTAAACCACAGCCAAGGAAGCAAAGCCAGAAGTCGCCATGGCTGCGATGGAGTCAATGGAGTTCCTCACAACTCAACTCGAGGGGCGCATATTCTGAGATATGCGCTCATTCCTGACGTATACAGGCCGTCTCCTGGAAGGCTTAAGAGAGGCTCGGCTTCATGCAAAGTTCAGTTGCTGACACATACCAGCAAGTAATAGACCCCAAAACTTCCAAGCGAAATGTGATCAAGCAGTGATCGAGCTAAAGCCGAACCCTTAACCTTAAATCATGAATGACGATACACCCGAAACCGAGAAGCCTACTTTCCAAAAACTACAGACCCCTACAGACCCCGAGTCCCTAAACCCCGCCACCTAAGGCTCCGGCTGATCCTCGATTGCGGACAGGTCAGCGTCGATCGGAACGCCGGTGATCTCTGCCTGGTCTTTGGCTCTTTATCGTTGTTCTTACCGGCCCAGGCATTCGCCTTCTTCGCTTAAACCCTGCAACAAGCCGCCTGGGTTCTATCCTGAGACATGTGTTGCCCCTGCACGCCCCGACATGGAGTCGGGATGAACTCAGATTACAACTGCAGGATGGACCACTGAGCTAGTGGCCCGATGCAGCACCTGTGAGACGTAGACGGCGGAGAGGTTCACAAAGCCCTGATGATGGTGGAAGAGTTAACAGAGCTGGAAGGAGTTTATGTGCAGGGGACCCCAGTTTCTAATGTCCTCCTTGCTGTTATTGTGATTAAAAAAGGCATAAGGCTGCATAAGTAATACAGTATATGCGTACTGTACCCTTTCTGATCCCTGATGTTGAGGCGTGAAGGTAGGATAGCTTGGGGCTTCACCTGGTCGGCTAGGGTCTGCAAAAGCAGCCTCTTGAGGCCGGTGCTTCGCTCCAGCCCGTTCATTGTCTACTTGGAGGTTCATGGGTAGTTATAAGTAGGGTGAAAAGCCCCCTATTGTGAGCTATAAGTAGAGTTACCCTACTCATAACCTTACCTATAACTACCCATGAACCTCCAAGTACCTGATGTCGGGTATACAACTTGGGTTTAGGCTGCACCAATGGCCGCTGTGTTGCTGCATCGGAGCAGGTACTAGCTTCGGACAGGTTGAGGAGATGGGAATGACAGTACGCAAGACATCGACAAGCAAAACCGATCAGCGAGCTTTTGTCACACTTGCCATGCTTCAATATCGAGGGTCGCCTTAGCCACCCGCTGCACAACTGCATGCTTTGCAGGTGGCTTGGAACAGCAACTCAAGTATTGAAATTCGCGCATGCATGCCGAAGCACGAACAAGCACTTGAGCTCATATCCATTCGGATACGGGCGGTGTGGAGAAGGCTCATCACGGTGGGTGTGCTCGCAAAAACCCTTCCAACACCCGATCGCTTAAAGCCAGGCATTTTGTAGGCATTCCTCCCGTAACCTTGCAGACTTGTTCTCGATTGTGAAAGCTTTTGCAGTCTGGCTGGAAAGAGAAGGCAGCAAAGCTTTCGTTGAAAGCCCTCTACCTGAGATCCCTGAAAATGTTAGTAGTGGCCACATGTACACGCGGCACCCTCCCCGGACACCGACCGGTTCGTGCAAACTGCTGTGCGGAAAAGCCCATGCGAGAGACTACGAATTAACAGCCATTTCTAAGAGAGCTGGAAGACAGATATTTCACAAGAAACTTGTATGTCGCACAGGCGAAGAAGCAGAAGCCTGGGGCTTGAAGCAGAAGCCTGGGCGATAACTTCGTCTCCCGACGTCTTGAGACCCTAAACCCCAAACCCTAAACCCGAGGACTCCAAGACCCCGAAAGCTTCTTCAAGAAACAAAAGCGCCGCCTCATTGCAGCAAGCGCGCTTCAACTGACAAACACTCTCCGGCTGCAACATAACAGCCGTATGATGCAGAAAACTCTGAAAACCTAGGTCTGAAAACTGCAGCTTCAAATGGAGAGGTGCAAGTGAAAATGGAGCATGCCTAAGGCAGCTCAAACTATGTGCGTGGCTTCAGGAATCTCGCGTGTGATGGTTGCCTGCAAGCCAACGTTTCTTGCCAGTGAAGGCAAACTCGCTAGGGGCATTCAACCTCTTGACTTGAAGACGTTTTGCGACCTGTCCCACACCGCATGACCGGACGAAGCAAGCAATGTTGGGCTGCAGCCTCTGACACATGATCTCTTTGGTTGGCATTCCAGACGAATCTCACCCGCTTGCTGGAGACGAGCTGTTACCAGAAGAATGTCACGAACACTGTAAATATCTCAGCAGACAAACATTGTGCCACCGAGAAACCAGAACCTAGCAGCTCAAGCCCGAAATACCCGACCCAGGACGCATACCGTCCCGTGGTGGGAAGAAGGGATTCACCTTTCCATTCAGAAATCTCAGGGCCTGCCGACGAAGTAGACCTCCGTGGGAGATCGCCTTAATGTGGATCCTCGGACAAGGCAGGAACACTGGTTCAGCTTCGTTGCCCACTTGCTCGGGAATTTCTAGCGGTTCCTTGAGCAAGCCTGCTTCGGCGATTCACGGATCCAACGCCACCGTCCTTCGATGCCCAAGTGCCGACCAAGTGTCTCTGCCTTTGACACATTTAGATCCTGGGCAGCAGGGCTTCGCAGGTCGACATGGCTGTAGTGAAGAGGGGCTCTGAGTCGATACAGTGGGCCACATCAACTTGGCAAATTCACCCGAGCCCCCGCAACCCAAGACTTCCATCCAGGTGGCAAAGAAACCGTAGGCATCATCGAGGCCGTAAAGCTCTGGATGCCCTTGCTTGAGACACTTTTCTTCTGTTGACGGCTGCCGATCACGACTCGGACTGCAAACCGGAGGCCCACAAATGAAAAGCAGGTAGCACTCCCGGAAACCACAAGGCAAGAGAGGCGCGATCTGAGGTGATTCCACCACCGCCACCGGAGATGATGGTCGTGAAAGGAAACTTGGGCGCCTCGGTCGGCCGAAAAACCGTCGGATCGACTCGAGAAGGCACATGTGTTAAAGCGACGCCTGCCCCGAGCTTGGAATCAAGTCCAGGATAGGCGAGGGGCAGTCTTGGTCGTCTCGCCCTTCAGCGTAAGCTGCTGGTAGTGGCGATGCCCACTGATGAACAAATCGATACCGCGCCTACAGTCAAAGGCTCCAAGGCGCATACAGTGCGAATCTCTGAAACACTGGTTGACAAGTCGCCGGGTGCCTGGTAACCTGGGTAACCTGCAACTGTTGGAGCTCATGGCTGATGAACCATCGCCGGCTCAGGACGGCTGAAAAGCTTCAGTTCCACGTCCCGAAGGGGAGTGCTAAAATGACACAAATAACCCCGAACTCTGAAGTCTTCGTGCGCGGCGCTTGCGCCCCAGCTTAGCCCAGAACTTCGCCTCAGCTCACACTTTGGAGTTGTCAATTGCCTCATGCCGGTCGCATAAAGGACTAGGTCGGTGCTTCAGCCACAGCTGTTGATCCAAAACGACCGAAGCTACTACCGAAGCTCATACAGCATGCTCAGACTCTGGACAGGAAACCACGCGTGCAAAAGATCATAAAGCTTTCACAAGACTGCCAGCGGGTGTTCATCCCATCTCGGCCAGTTCTGAAGAGCTCTGCAAAGGAATTCGTTGGCTCGTCAAGCCATAAACAAAGCCTGAAGCCTGGGCAAACCTGCACCGAGCTTCCCTTGACCAAGTTGGGGCAACCTAACGAAAATGCGAGCCCTAAATCCTCCGCAGTCCCATCAAAGACAAGATAAGGCCCAAAAGATAGCACGGATTCCCGACAAGACACGTTGTACTCCGGCGGGAAGTGCGAGACAATTATCTGCCACTCCTCGGGGAAGGCAGATCGACAAACAGCCTCGAAATGAGGTTCGATCTGCCATTCCAACTTGTTGCGTGCTCTCTACCAAACTTCCTCCTTCTT